ATAAATCCATTATTACTCTCTTCATTGCTACTGTATGGGGAAAACCTTAGGCTCCTATGGATTAGATTTTTCTCCCTGACCTCTGACCAGATTGTATGTTCCTGGCCATTCAGATGGAATGGGGAATAAATCTGAGTATTCTTCCAGGGAACCTGTGATTCATCTGGTGGTGAATTGTGTAGTCTCTAAAAGAGAGTAAGAAGACAAAAAATGTTTCTGTGGAAAGACTGTATTCACCTTCAACAGAAATCAAAGGAAGCAAATTTGGCCCAGCTGTATGGAGCCCTCCTGGTGACAAAGTCCTTGGAGCACTTTCAAAACATAGAGCAGATGCACAGGGTAACGAACTGATTATAGTCTCCATCCCAAACCAGAGATATCAGTCAAGAGAAGTTTTCTTCCCCAGATTCACATGCAGATAAATAGCTTGGAGGCATTACACTAATAATATGTGGAAAACATCCAGGATCAGTGAGATTGAAATGATGTCAGCTTTGAGGAGGACATCCAGGGAATGATGTTGGGGTGTGCGACTCAGGCCTGTGGGACCATGGTTCTGGGAACAGCGTTTAGATCTAATTTTTGTTCACTCAACATCATCTCAGTCAAATGCTGCTACAGTTCTGGAAGGAACATAGTAATTTATAAAATTATAGAAAATGAAAAGGTTTGTAGAATAAATGTCTGACTATTTAAAGGGATTCTACCCACTATCTATGCACAGCATTTAGCATTTTCCAAAACATAGTGTGAAGAGTTGGTCTGACTTTGTTTAACCAGTGATTTAAGTGGGAGCAAAATTGGACTGCTATCCAATTCTCTAGAGATGCTGCACTACTTTTTGTTCAGTTTGGCTCATCAGTTCACAGTAGGTGAGGGTGATGTGTTGTGATTTACTATCAGAAGAACATGGGAGAAAAAAGAAAATTCTCACTTTCATAGCAATAGTTAGACCTCAGTTGTCCCTTTTGTTTGGTGCTTCTTATTTATTTCTACGTATGTTTTTAACTTGCTCTTACTTATAGATTTTTTTTGGTTTTCTTTCTAAATTACAGCAACTAGTAGTTATTTAAGAACTTACAATTGTTTCCATTTTGGAGAGAACTCATTTTAGGGTCACATTAGTTACCAAAGCCATTTAAATTCTGCTTTGCTGGAAACACTTGTACAAACTGATAGTCTGGATGTAAATTATTTATTTCAAATTGAATTGGTTGTGCTTTTTACTTAGAAAAAAAAGCATACTAACCACAAGATTACATTTTTTATTTTCTTTAGATGCTTGCCAATCTAGCAAGAGATTTTACTCTAAAAGATTGCTTTTTTGTTACTGGCGATTGGCCCACCAGCTTTGAAAATTCAGAAGCTTTGCATTTTGAAAAAAGACCAAGATAAGCTGGAGAGTTAAACATAATGCTGAGTGCATGCCAGCGTGTGCTATACATGCTATATATATATATATATACACACACACACATATATAATGGTGAAGCATTTTAAGTCATCTTACTGATATTCTTCATATTCTCTCTATGCAATATTTAATATAATGTGATCAGTTTTATTCCTTTTAGCTGGTGAATATGCAGTTTTTAATAACATCTGCTACATGGTGGTTATAAGGGTGAACTAATATTTGGACAACTTCTGTTTAAATGTAGCTTATAGTATGAATCAATATTTTAGAAATACTATCCCTGAACTTCTGCTCTTCCTTTGCTAAATTTGCAGTGGAGCTGTGTACAGATCGATCTGAGTTTGGCATTTCTACAGGCATGACTGAGGACTTTACAGATATGGCAATATTTTCATTTCTCTAGTTTGATGGCAAACTAATATTCCTTGATCATATTGGCAGTAGACTAAATACCAGTTTGGAAATGCAACTGGCCAAGGAGGTTGTAGTAAATTAAATTTCAACAGAGTTTTGTATGCCAAGATAGCATTCAAGTGTATATAGACATATGTGAGGATGTGGGTTTCTTGACACAGATGGGGCAAAACAAACCTTGGATATTTCAGGCTCAGGAAAGGAATGCAATCAGGATCTCAAATATGTTTGAACTATAGCTTTTAGTCCATTGATAAGATACAGTTGAAAGATTTGGAATGCTAAGAAAAGGATTTAATAGAGCTTATGTTACTGATGGGGGAAAAAGGCTAAAACAAACACATCAGTCTCATGCTTTTTACCAATGAGCTCTTCTGCTGGAGATAACAAAAGTTCTTCTTGGCTGAGAAATATTTGAATATTGTAGATTATATTTTTACATGTTGCATAGGCTTTACTTTGTATATGTATATATATACTGCAGAAATTATATTTCTGTTCAAAGAATACTCCAGTCAGTCTGACTCAGAGGTGAACTCTCAACTCAAGGTGCTGATTTTCCAGAAAAAGCTACCGCTGAGATCTTGCCCCTTCTCCAGCAGCTAACTCTCTGTGTATTAACTAGACTCTAAGTGTGCAGGAGTAAGGTCTATTTGAGCATAATTAAGTGCATGTTGTCCCAATCCAGCATGCACAATTCTCATAAGCATTTCATGTAAGAAAGAGACATCCCGGAAACTTTGGTCCTGAGGCTATTGTAACAAATGTGATGCAGTGTCAAGGGAGAAGATTTTAATCCTTTATTCAGTTTGTTTGCCAGTATTAACATTTGGTCCTGTGGAGCTGAATGTTCCATGCTGTTTTCTTCCTCTTCATGTTTCAATAACAATTTTCATAAAAAGCGTGTCTCCCACTTCATGGCATTACAAGGAGTGGTTATTCAGAGTCTGAAAGTGTGCCTGGAAATTTAGACATTTTCAAGCAATTTCTAAAATGCATTTCGACTTGGCTATATTTTTAAAAGTGAGCTTTCAGAGACTGGTGCATCACACCACGTGTTTTATTTGAACAAGTGACATCAGAGGCAAATAACTTAAATTTTTGTTGAATTAAAAGCAGGCTTTTCTGAGATCTAACATTAGTTTTATTGGTATCAATTCTATCAATATCTAGCAAACAAACAAAAAAAACCCAAAAAATAGTTTTTGTCTCAAGCAGTAGCATTCTCACTGAATAGGATATGCAACCTAGATATTGCAGTCCTTGGTACAGGAAAACCGTGTCAAGACAGAGATTCAGCATCTCACTAAAAATTTAACTTGACAAGCCTTTTATCTCTGTTGAAAGTGATGATAAAGGACTGTAACAATCCGCATAAAAGTGGAATAGCTATTAAGATTGTTTTTAAATGTTCCAAATTTTAGAAACTTGTGAGATACCAAGAATTTTGTTGTCCCATTACCAATCATATTTGATAGTTTCCCAAAGAAGGATACTTGAAATTATTATAATATATAACCTTTAACCTAAAGTCCAGAAGCTGAGCTGTGTTCAGAACGTGTAATAGAGGGAACACACTTTATCCTAAGCCAAAACACTTAGAAAGCTCTGTGTGGGAACACTCTCTCTCCCATTTTTATCTGCATGAAGGAATTCAGAAGGGCTCACAAGAGACAAAGCCTCAGCAGCAGCATCAGTATGCCCTGGGAAAACACCCTCATGTGTTCCAGATCTAACATTCTGGCTTTAGGAGCAGGCAGTTCTCTGCATTCATAACCTCTGGTGCTGTCCTTTGGCTACACAGTCAATCTCCATATGGGCCTGAATGTGGAACTCCATTCCTCACACTGTAAATGTTCCCACTGAATTCAACAGGTGTGTTTGCAGAGTAAGATATTACTCACTGTGAGTAAGAGCCATATGATATGAGACAACAGGTCTGGCACTAAAATATGTTTTTATATTTCCAGGTGAATATATTCTCACATGTGGGTTTCTTGTTTTGGCCTACACCTGTAATATGTGCAGAATAGTCCTGCAGAAGAAATAATTGTACAGTTTAGTGTTAGATATTAATATGTAAATACATATTGTTTTTTACCATCCCATTACTCATTTGCATGTGTAAATGCAGATTAACTGCTTGTGTAACTTTGCCAGTGAAAAATTGACTATTTCAAAATTTTACCTTGCATGTGTTCTGGGGAATTATGCTACAAGTCCATGTTATTTCTTCATTCAAGCTCTCCATTCTGTTAGAAACACAGTATAACCACTTGGGTCTGATTCACGGGGTAACCCTTCAAAATTACATACCTAATGATTATTAATTTCTTTGATATGTATTGATTGCTTCAACATTATTCATGATGAACACCATTTATTAATGTGGATGTCACTGCCATTGTGCTTAAGGCTGTCTACTTTAACTAATAGGATCATTAGTTAGTTTTAAGGTGTTATATTTTGCACAGTCAACTTCATGTCTTTCTCAAGGAGGTGAAGAATGTAAATGTATAGAAACTGTTTACTGAATTTTGAAAGCATTTTGCTGTTTATAAGAGTAGCTTGGGGCGGTTGGGGCTAAAGGTTGTTTGTCTTCTGAAGAAAAGAAAAAATTTATGTGATATATATTGATATATATATATATATATATACACACCATATATACATATACCCCTTAAATCCCAGAAGACACTTCATTTTTCCTTGGACAAGTTAATGTACATAATGCTATTCAGTTGTCTTCAAAAGTTGACAGCAAGCCTGAGCTGTTATTTCAAGGTTTCCCTGCATAATGCACAGATGCTATTATTCATGGAGCTGTTGTGCTAGACTTTGAAGAGTGCTTATCTCCATAGGTGGTCATGTTAATTCCAAAATCAGTTCTTAGTGTTTCTGAGAGGATCCAGTGGTGGGTCTTGTTTCTAAGTGCAAATTCAATTCTGGATAGGGTAGACAGGACAGTATTCCAGCTTGGACCACAAGACACCTCAAAGTGAATAGACTAGCTTTGTGATTTTGATTAATTTTTAGCTCTGGATTACTCAATGCCCATATTTTCCTTGATTGGACCTGCTCTGGTTCAGGTCAGTGGGAGTTTTGACAGTAAAACAGGCCACATGCACTGAACCGCTCTCACTCCCAATATCACTGTGTTTTCTTACAGCCTGTGACCTGATGAACCAAGGCATCCTGGCCCTTGTCAGCTCCATCGGCTGCACATCAGCAGGATCCCTGCAGTCTCTGGCCGATGCCATGCACATCCCTCACCTCTTCATCCAGCGCTCCACGGCAGGAACGCCGAGGAGCGGCTGTGGGCTCACCAGGAGCAACCGCAACGATGACTACACACTCTCCGTGCGGCCCCCTGTCTACTTAAATGATGTCATCTTGAGAGTGGTCACAGAATATGCCTGGCAGAAATTCATTATTTTTTACGATAATGACTATGGTAAGTATTTATTTATCAGGGTGATTTTCTGTCAAATCCATAATCCTGTTGAAAAGTGTCACATTGCAGCTTAATAGTCTTCCAATAGATTATGTTTTGCTTGTGAACGTTTATGGTTTTGGCAGCATTTCCCAGAACCTCAGATAAATCTATTTCTAAAATCCATCAACATTTACAGGTTTATTTGATAAAGTCTTTGTTAGAGATAGCTGATAAATGAAGAACTTACGTGTTTTTCTATTGTACCTGTGTTTATGAAGCATAAAACTTTTTAGCAAGCTCTCTTGTTATTTTGGACAGTAGAAACATAAAATGACAATTCAAGATAGAGCATGTAAGATTTGCTTTGTGTAGATTTTTTTATTGTGTGCTGAATCTCTTCTATTTCTTGGCATATACTTTCTGGCCAGAATCTGAAGCAGTGGTGAATGTAGGTCAGAGGTTTGGCAAGAACGAGGTGCTAGTCATAAATATAAAACATGTAGAAAGAAGTTCTGGAGAGTGAAGAAGGTGAGGAGGAGGGCTTGGACAAGACAAGATTCCCTCTGTTTTGAGTTCATTCAGTGTTCCTGAAAGGTGCTGAATTGGTGGTTTTTGTGTGATGGAGTAAGTGTGACACAGATGGTGGTATCACAAGACTGCGCCATCCAGCTCAGTGAATCAGCCAGTTTTGGTCCAGATATTTTCTACAGCTGACAGGAGAACTGGAAAGATTTCTCCAGTATGGCAGCATTATTTAACAAATTTAACAATCTTTATTTCTCTGAAAAATTGCTTTGCAGCCACGCCTGCTTCTTCAGATGCATCCAGTATACATAAGTAATCATGACTGGCTTGGATGAGCATTTTAAAACTTATGTTCAAAGTTAAATCCTTAAGTTATAGAAAAATGCTCACTTCAGCGATTTACTGTGCATAATATCTGGTTCATTCAGGTCAGGTGTTATTGATTTTTGTTCCCAGCCTACATAATAAATTCTTAAATTAGACAAATAGAAAGTGATGAATAGGGGAATTCTTCTTTATAACAAAGCAGCATCTAAAAGCACCAGCCATGGGATAAGGAACACAAAAACCCCTACCACAAAAAAAAAAAAAAAAATCTAAAAATCTCACAGCAGAATATTTTTGTTCAGAAATTATGAGTTTGTGTATTTAACTGCCAGGTGCCTATAAAGACAACTATAAAATTTTTATTTAAGGGGTATCTTTTTGCATGTATTTTTGGGTTTAAGAGCCTCAAGCAAATTTTATAATTAATATATTTGAATAATTCTATTCAAGAATACTGTGTTTCATTATTTAATTTAAAAACACAGTTCAGAGAATATGTTATTTTGTCCTTGATAGCTAGGTAAGAACTTCATAATGGTGTGACATACGTAACACAGATGCCTGCGTGCCTGCAAGGAATTAGTAGTAGTGCAGTAGCTTATTCAGTGACACATCATCCTCAGATGTGACCTGTGGCAAATATTTAGTCTCTGTACCAGCCTCTCTGGCATTCTGAACTCAGCAGTCAATGAGTAATGCCATACTAACCAAGACAGATTGGTAATCTGACTCTGATTAGTGATCACCACCACAAACATCAGGAAAAGGTGCAAAAAAACCCCAACATTCTGCATTTAGTGTATATTGAGCAGTCTGTCCCCTTTCTAACCATTTGTGTGTCTTGGTCATTTTGGTGGGGGGGTAGGTTGTTTGTTTGGGGTGACGGGTGTGTGTACACAGTTTAGAATTAATACCATGGATTTAATGCAACTTGATTTTTAAAATTAACACATGACTCTGACTAGAGCTATTACCTGTGCAAATGTGTTTCTTTAGACTGTATCAAGCTAAATCCTTGATTTCAACAGCCATCCTAGGGCAATTTCTGTATTCTTCTTTAGTTAGTTTTCTACAGTTTCTTTATAAAACTTCATTGTTGATTTCAATTATGGTTTCACCTCTCCATTTTTAATAACAAACAGAGCAGAACTTTCAGATCACCATCTCTATCTAACCTGAGGCCTCATTCTTTCCTTTGCTCACTGGCTCTCCATTCCTTCTTTGTCATACTAGAATGCCCTTCTAATTCTTTGCTACCCTGTTTCAGGTGAAATCATTAGGTTTGACACTGTGTTTTGCCTGTACCCAGTTTTTAATCTATGACAACAATTTTTCACAGACACATGATGACATTTTTGATTAGCAGCTCCTAGAGAGCAATCTTGCCAGATTGTTATAAATATTAACAAATTATATCACTTTCTTCCCTTTTCCTGCTATTTTATTGATAAACTGAAAGCATTTCTCATATGTTACCAGTTCACATTTTCTTTTCCTGCACTCTATTGATGGAAGAGGGACTAGCGCAGAGAGAGTGACAAAAAAATTGTCATGGCATGAAAAGAGGAATTAGAATCACTTTTTTTTAATGGATTACAAATTGGATAAGTCTGAATTCAGTATTCACGGTGCTTTAAGCATCAGGTTGGACAGTATGATATCCTGAAATACTGTCCAAATCTAATTATTCCATGACATGATGTTTGAGAAAGGCATTCTTTTGATGGTTCTCTAGATGTGAAATATTTTTACAGAAGAAAACTATTCCAGCATCAGATGGAATTTTTAAAAAGAGAGTTGGCACAAGAGCTCCAGAAGACCCTGAGAACATTGCCATTAGCTTCTGTGCCTGTTTTAGAAAGAAGACTGGGAATGTAGATATGGGGTGGAGGTCTAGGAACAATCCATCCCTTTGGTCAGCATCAGTGCAGCTAAGGGTGGTTTCAATTTCCTCTGGAAGATGCCAGTCCCCCACCTCAGCTTGCCTGAGAGATTCTCCTGCAGTGAGACTTATTTGTTTTCTCAGCTCATGCAGACCTAAAATAAAACTCTTGCTAAAAGCTTTGATCCATGTAACTGCTTTCAGCAGTTAATATTAGACATTTTAATAGAACATTTAGTATTAAACATTAAAGCAGGTGGCAGTTAGATACCTGAATTAGAATTAATTTTATATTAGGAAGAGATTATTGACATGTTGTGCACAGCTGTCTGCAAAACTGACACCTGTGCAAGCAGCAATTTCTTGCCCTAGTGGTATTTTTTCATGTGCAGCAATCGTTCCTTCTCACAGTGTGTATCATCACACAAAGTGGTGTCTCCATAGCAGTAAATGACACTTGACAATGGGAATATAGATTCTGATATATGTTCATCTTTTTTTTTTTTTTCCTCATTGTTACTATATTTTTGTAAGTTAGAAAATGTGAAAGCACTAATAGACTGATTCCAGCAACCAGCAGAAATTCAGTACTTTTCTTTCCTATGAATTATTTTGTATAGTCATTTAATTTAATTATTTTAAACAAAATTCTTTAGTTGTATTACTGAAATTATTTCCAGTAATAATTTTGCACTGTGGAAGAAAATGGGCCTTTCATATTTAAAATAAATTTTCCTACAGTAAAATTGGGATCTTATCCAAAGTACACCCTGCTCTAAGCCAGTTGCCTTGCACCTTTAATATAAGCTGAAAACCTTTATGTGCCAATTTATCAAAATCAAAGTTTTTAAATCCTATCAGCAGAACTGCTTTTGAATTTTATCTTGCAGTCTATCATAGATTCCTTTTCATTATCAGAGAATTTTTTATAATGGAAATGTTTTCTGCAGGCCTGAGAATAATTTCCCCTACGTTATCCTCCTTAAAAATCTCAATTCAAAATTCTTATTTTGAATGTAAGTACATGAATATATTAAGTTTTACTGTCTTAACACTACTGTACTTTTTAACACTACTGTACTAACATCTAAATCTTAGAAACTTCAAGTCTACTTAAAGGTTCTTTACTGACTAGGAAAGTTAAGTCTTTGAAGGAAGCAATTCTTTCATTAAGTCATAACCAACTGGATGTTGAAAAAGCGAGGTAGAAATGCACTTCTGAAATGATATCTAAGTTTTCAAATGATGTTTCTTTTCCAAGAAATTTGAAAGTAGGCTATTTTAAGACAAAACAAAGAGCACCTTGATAATTGTAATAAACATATTTTCCTACTGTTGACTTAGTTATGCTAAGACTCTTGAAAAGCCATAATTTTTCCTAAGTTGTAGAGCCTCCCCAGTAACAGATGTAAGGCCAACATACAGTAGGAATTAATGAATGGGGATATGAGAAAAAAGAACATTTTAAACTTATCAGGTTTAGATGCTATTTGCTGTATTTCATTTAGTACAATTGTATATTTAGTGCATAAATTTAGATGAACTTTTGAAAATCAGAACAAGTTGTCATTTCCCCAATCCTTGCACTCTGTGAGCTTGATCTAGACCAAACTCCCAGTGCAGTCCTCTTCAGTATTCAGTGTGTTCTGTTCCTTTTGGTAAAACAAGTTAAGGCCTGTCCAGGACATGAAATCTGATTTTTTTAAAGAAAATTTAATAGTTATTAAAAGCATTCAAGAACAATTCTGCACTTCTTCAAAGGCCATTAAAGAGAGTGTTGTGGTGATAGAGAGTAGGTGGCATGAAATGCAGTGAAATTATGCAGTAGACTGATGCCTTTCTCAAACTGGTATTAAAATTGCTATCCACACAGTATGTAGAAGCCAAATTTACTTAATTTAAGCAGCCAAATCAGCACCTACTTGCTTCATTCTTAACTGCTCAGCCCAACATGTAGGATCACTGTGCAGAGGATGTTGGTGCATCTCCTTCTCACAGTCAGATGTTGAGACTAGGAAGCTTCTCCTCTAGTATGAATTCCTCCTTAGGAGCATCAGCACTCATTCAATGAAGGCATTTTCAGATTGGACACTGTAAATGTATAACTTATACCTTTGGAAATTGCAAAGTTTGGATTTTTAAAAAAGAAATCTGAAATCAGAAATCGCTGCCGTCTGTAAATATTTTTGAGCAAGTTTGCCAAGTTATTAATCTTATGGTTTCAGGTTCAAAGTGAGCAAAATGCAGTTTGACACAGCAAATCCTACCTTATCCACAGACTGGC